TTTAGTTTACGTTAGTCGTTGTTTAGTTATTAGTACTATAGTAGTACACAACTAACTACGTGTAATAGTTATTAACTACTTAGTCTATAGTTACTACTATATATATATATATATATATATATATATACAGATAGATAGATAGAGAGAGAGAGAGAGAGAGTTTTTTGTACTCTTTCCTTGCAATTGCAAAGCTTTTGATGAGGCTGTAATGTCATATCTCTATTTGCTTAATCAGGAATTGGGATATTAGCAGTTTCATATGCATTATCAGAAACAGGGTGGATGAGCTTACTGTTGCTAGTGCTTGTAGCCATCATAGCTGGCTATACTGCCTCACTTCTCATCCGATGCATGCAAGTGGATCCGAAAATTCAAGCCTACCCCGACATCGCCAACATTGCCTTTGGCCATAAAGGAAAAATCTTTGTGTCAATAGCTCTATGCCTCTCAATGTACATGATTGCAGTGGAGCAACTGATAATAGAGGGTGACAATTTGGAAAATATGTTTCCCAATATCAGTTTAAGACTTGGACAGTTAAAAATAGAAGGGAGAAAAGCTATTGTCCTCATATCTTCCTTGATAATATTACCCACTGTTTGGCTAAGAGGTTTGGGCCCTCTAGCTTATGTCTCAGCTTGTGGGTTTTTGGCCCCTATGCTTATAATGGGTTCAGTTGTTTGGGTTGGCTTGTTTGATGGGGTTGGATTTCATCCAAGAAAAAGGCTTTTTAGTATTAATGGTTTGCCCACAACTGCTAGTATTTTTGCATTTTGCTTCTCAGCACATGGAGTTCTCCCCACCATTAGTGCCTCAATGAAAGACAAGAGCAAGTCCATGAGAGTAAGCTTTCATAAACTCAACAATTAAGTTTGATTTGGTATTTAAGTGTGAGAAAAGAGAAAATACATCATAAAATAAACTTCCCTTTTATTGATGCAGGTGATAATTGTTTGTTTTACAACTGCTGCTTTGAGCTATGCAATAATGGCGGTATCAGGTACCTAATGTATGGACAAGAAGTAAAGTCTCAAATCACTTTGAATCTTCCAAAAGGAAAGGTCAGCTCCAAGATAGCTATATACACTATCATCACAATTCCCATTGTGAAATATGCAATAATTGTGACCCCAATTGTACTTGCAGTAGAAGAGGCAGTCCCCATTTGCAAGAGAATAGCCTTGAGCCTTCTGTTTAGAACAATGTTGGTGGCTAGCACTGCGATAGTGGCTATCACAGTTCCATTCTTTGGGTATTTGTTGGCCTTGGGTGGATCAGCTCTTAGTAGTACCTTGAATTTCGTCTTGCCATGCCTTTTTTACTTGAAGATCACTAAGAATTCAAAACATGGAAAGGTGGAGTTGGGGATCATAGTGGGAATTGTTGTCATGAGCTCCATTGTTGCAGTTCTAGGGACATATACATCTATGAAAAGGATCTTGCAACATCTATAAATATCTATGCTAGGTTGTTTGAGAGGTGATTGCGCTCGGATTAGCTATAAGTTTGCAAACTTCAGTAAGATTTTATTTTGTCTTACTACATGGTTTATTTTGAGATTTTACCTTGCTTTGTGCAATTACATCATCTACCCCTTAATTGTAATTTCAAAGGGGACAAGTAAATGTAAAGAAAAAAAACTCTACAAAGGAGGAAAGCCAGGCAACATATACAAACCAGGATAGATTTTTTATGCTTTTCCTCGATCAAATAGGTTGCAAAAATAAAAGTTATGAATATAAAACCCAATTTATTGGGATGCATAGGCAAAATTCATGTCTTATCCATTAATTTTTAGATGTTTGGCAATGTTTCTTCTACCATGGACGCACATGAGAATGTTAAATTTCCTCATATTTGCAAAATTAAGAGAAATTTACACGTATATCCTATTCAAAAATTGTAATTATAAAAAAGTAATGATCCTATAGGACCCTCCTCCACCTATGTGTGTGAGACCCCAAAGGATCACCATTAAATTTGGTACGGATATCTAGAAAAGTTCTCACATGGGTGTGGGACTTGAGTTTTTTAGAGATCTGTGTTAATTTAATGGTGATCATTTGAGGTCCTATACATATGGGTTGAGGAGGGTCCTATAGGATCATTTCTCATTATAAAAATCGCCCTTAATTTTTGTATATTATGTGCATGTCCCTTTTTTCCGTCTCTTTTCTTATTCCAATTTTACCTCTAACTCTAGAGATTGAATATTTGAAGTCACAAATGACTTTGGATTTTCAATGTCCACAGTTATTGTTTTTTATTCACTTCGGATGTTGAAAATTTGAAGTCATTTTTTATTTCAGATTTTCAATATCGAAAGTTGCATTATAATTAAGATTTCAAATCAACTTCAGATATTCAAAAGCCAAAGTTAAGTGTGACTTTGAATTTTCAATATTCAAAGTGAAAAATTGCTTTAAAAAAAATATGTTCAGATTTTAAATTTTAGAAGTGATAGTAAAATTGGAAAATGAAAAAAAGAAAAAGACTGACAAAAGGGATACACGCATAATATACAACTAAAATTAGAGGATTTTCATAATTACAATTTTTAAATGAGATGTACAGGTAAATTTCTCTAGAATTAAATGGATAATAAACCAGGTGAGATGACTAGCCTATGGTCCCCACTTGCAAGCTAATAAAATTAGGATTTTGGGAAAAATATGGGTCAATCGGCCCTAAATCTTGCATTGATGTCAATAAAGTATCACGAAAAAATTTGAGGAAAAATGAGTCCACCATTCTTGGTCCCCCATTTCGTCGCTTACGTTCAATCATGGTGGTCCAGCCTATATTGTGCTACAGGCCGATCGGCTCATAGAATCAACTCCCAATAAAATGATAATGCATAGTACACTAATTTCTTTACAAATATTTTAATGTTAGACTTGACTGAAACCTGTTTGAAACATTAAATTAAAGAACACTATTAGGCAATGGAAAAAGGCATAAAACCTAATTTGAGTAACTAGCTTAAGCTCGATGGAAGGCATTTTGTCCGAACATGGAGATTGTTAATTCAAAGGAAGTCTATCACAAAAACCACTGTTCTACCTCACTATACATCTATAATACTTAGAACTTCATTGAAATATCCAAATTACTTGGAAACTAATCAATCGATTAATGTGAAACTTAGTCTAAATAGACCTTCTTCATTGTAGTAGAGTCTATTTGCAAATTATAGATGCTCAAAAACTTCAAATTTTTTGGGAAAATATTATTAAAATGGTCAAACCACTTTAAAAAATCAATGAAGTGGTTAAATAAATAATTTTACCAACAAAGTGGTTGTATTTAAAATCGCTTCATTTAGATACCTCCTCAAATAATTTATTAAAAATGTCTAAATTTCCGTTGTGTTGTGTTTGTAGCCTTAAATACGCAAGGGCATTGTGTCAATGAGATCCACTTAAGTCACTTGATCCACATGAACTACTTGAGTCAGTTACCAAATTGAAAACATGTTTTTCCTTAAAAAGATTCTTGTTCTAGGTTTGAAACCACGAATGAGAAGGGGAATTTAGGTAATTCAATCCTAGTGAATCAAATCAAAAGATGTAAATATCCTGCTTGTTCCAGGTCGCTAACCCAAAAAAGGAGAAATTGAACATTTTAAAAAGTTAATTTATGAGAAGTTGTTACACGGTCCGTAAAAATTTTCTTGAGCTTTTAAACCAATCAATAATACAATTCCATTTCATCTAACAATTAAGGATGATTGTGATTCCATAGACTTTCTCAAAAAATAGGTTCTTCTAAGCCCATTTTACTCACGCTTGGAATGCGGATATCATAAGCAAATTCCAGTAAAAAATGCAGGCTCTTGTACTGCTTAGTGTTTGTACGAGATACCCACTCAAACCCACTAATGCTTTTAATCCTAGTTCTTCAAGAATACTTCATTCCTCTTTTTTTTTTCTTTTTCTTTTCCTTTTTTTAAAAGAAATCCAGTCATCCCCACTAATTCCTTCAATCCCAGTACTTCTAGAATACCTTATTATTTATTTATGTTTTAATTATCCGCCTTTTCAACTTTTTGAGGACCACAACCTTTCATTGTCCAAAAGCATTGTGCTTCAAGTTATATTTTTTGTTATAAAATGAACGGTGGTAGAATTTTGAGTGATTCCATTTGCTTTACTTCAATAGAATGAAGGAAAGGTCAAGGGAATTGCCTTTAATGCTTCAATTTGTTACTTTTTGTAAAATAGAACGTAGTGGATGCATGTTCTTGTCCGGTAGTTATTATGGAAGTGTCAAGGCATCTATAATAGAAACAACCAAAACTCTCTTCTTATATAATGTGGATACGGATCATATTATTTTTCCAATATGATCACTAGAATCTCTTTCAAGAATATATAACGGTAGAGAAAGATGGATTCCACAAAACCGAAACAATCTGTTCATCAATTAGTGTGACAATGCCTCAAGACTCACAAGCAAATAGAAAGAAGAAGAATAACCAAGATGAAGTGGAAAAAAAACTTTATTAAAGAAAAATATGGGGTACACAAAGGCATTACAATCTCAACACACGAGATTAACTTTAACACATGTGACCCCGGGTTACACAAAGGCATTACAATCTTGACACTCAAGATTAACCTTAAACATATGTCCCAATTTTCTCACCACACACATCTCTTTAACTGGAGGTTTTTATAACCATGTTTCCTACAATAACTACCCACTTGTGACAATAACTCCTAACCACCTTGTAGTTTTACAACTTCCTACTACACAAACTTACAAGTGCAACCATACTACATCACTCATGGTAAAATAACATAAAAACTAATATACTTTCTAGAAAATATACTTTAACAATTTTAACATTCTATCGTAAATTGATTTTCTAAAAAGGAGATGATGTATATGCTATCATCTCCATTATTTCCCGAAATTAAAAATCCGGCTATTTAGCAGGCTACCAAAGAGATTCTCAAATTTCACCAAGTAGGGCTGCATAACCCATCCTTGAATAGAGGTAGCATTGGGAATATATATTTTTTTTAACCCACAAATGATAAGTCACTTTATCTGTTCCTCCAAATAGGTTCTTCCGCATCAATGGTTTTAACCTTGAGTTGAGTTCCCAACTCAACATTAAAACCATTAAACCTTCCACTGAATCCATCTTCGAAAAGATAATTGATCTTTTTCACCAAAGGAGTTGAGACAACATCACCACGACCCTTATGGTTCTGAACCATGTAGAGAAATACGGATTCCACAACATCGGAACAATCCGCTTCTCAATTAGTGTGACAATGCCACATTAGCCCAAGACTCACAAGCAAATAGAAAGAAGAAGAATAACCAATATAAAGTGGAAGCAAAACTTCATTAAAGAAAAACATGGCGTACACAAAGGCATTACAACCTCAACACGCAAGATTAACCTTAACACATGTGACCTCGGGTACACAAAGGCATTACAATCTTGATGCTCAAGATTAACGTTAAACATATGTCCCAATTTTCTCGCCAGACACTTCTCTTTAAATAGGGATTTTTATAACCATATTTCCTACAATAACTACCCACTTGTAACAATAACAACTAACCACCTAGTAGTTTTACAACTTCCTACTACACAAACTTATAAGTACAACCTTACTACATCACTCATGATAAAATACCATAAAAACTAATATACTTTTTAGAAAATACACTAACAATTTTAACAATAAGAATAGTGGACAAATAAAAAAAAGGAGATATAATTCGATAGTGTATTATACACTTTTCCCTTTGTGTGGCAGTAATCTCCTCTCTATAAAAGTAAATCAGACAATTTACTAAAAAAAAGTATATAATAAGACAATTTATCTTCATAAAGAGGTCACGATCACCTATAACATATAGATGTGAAATCCGGTAGTGGAGGTTGTGCCATTAGTTAGATTCAAAGTTCAAAAAATTTCTCAAACTCTTGGACGCACACATCCAAAGGAAAAGGGTGGTTATGACTGTACTGTATCAAACGTAAATGGCCTTGCGGTATGCAATATAATTTCCTAAAGACAATACATGTATAGTGTCTTCCATAGTTGAACATAGAATTGCTTGTAACATTTAAATCACTATAACTATTATAATTTCTATCATCTTCACTTTTCAACATGAAGACGTGTATGTGGTTTTCTGCACATATCAACATACAAGAGACATGACATTTGTATCTAACACTTTAGAAGTTTAGATATTGTTTAACATTTTTTTTTGAAATAATACTAGAAATTCACTTAATGTAAATCCCAACTCTCCACTTTTTCTAAATGGTATATAGGTATGTGGTGCTTGAAATACCAAATTGAAATTAATATTTACATATAATGTTGTAAGAGACACCAAAATGAAATTAATGTATGCAATTTTATTTTTTTTGGTTAATAAGTGGGGAAAGGACCTCTACCTGTACTAAGAATAGAAGTCAGGATGTCATGTTGTGGTATCCACCACCTATGCCTTGCGGCATTCCTACGTTGTGATATCCACCGCTTATGCCTTGAGGCATTCCT